ATATATTAGACGGAGCAGCTGTACCCTGGTAATTGACTGAAGGGCTCTCTCTCTTCTCATAGCACTGCTGACTGAGCTAAAAGGCTTTAGTGGCTAATGTCAGTGAGTGGTGCGTCTTAATCCTGTTGAGAGCGCAGCCGAGGGTGAAATCCTTCTTTGATTATTGCTTGCTATCGTTGCCTCTTTCCAGAAAACAATTTCTCCGCAGACTCAACCGCACAGGCAAGACTTCCCACCCAGGGCATAATGTGTGCTCTGCTGCACCTCTGGAGAAGTAGGGAATATGGGATTGATGGTTGCAGATGTTTTATGCCTGTCATACAGTACACACTTTAAAGCTAGAAAAGGTTGAGCAGCATAACTTCTATCCTAAACTACAGTATATAATCCTCCTCCATTGTCCAACAAACCTATGCAGTACTATAGTTTGACCCTCTGCAGTCCAACTCGCTCTACAGCATGTTATTAACCTATGTGCTATAAAGGTACTGAGAGTTAGTAGGGAGCCCTAATTCAGGCACAGAGTTAAGAATAATAAGGCATAGTTGTCAATGGGGATTCATATGACGTGGAGGGTTCAAACGGTAGCAGGTGTTAATGTAGGCATTGTGCGTGAGTGTGTGTGTGTGTACTGGTATATATAGTTTATGAGGACACAAATGTGTATAATGACATGGGTACTACAACGTAAACATGGTTTATGAGGACACTTCCTGTGTCCCCATAAAACAAAAGGCTTAAAAAAACATACAAAACGGTGTTTTATGAAATTCAAAAATTGCCATTAGTTTTCTGTAAGGGGTAGGTTTAGGCGTAGGGCGATAGAAAATAATTAATGTTTAAGAAATTTGAAATCATTTGAAAATGGATTAAAAAGTAAATGTTAAATAAACATACTTACACTTTAGATGACAACATATTTTTCACAAATAAATAAATATTTAATAAAAAATATGTTTTATAATGGAAGTTTGTGAGCATTGGGAATCATATTTTTTCAAATAAAGCCAAGGTAACACTGACTTTACATACAGCACACAGTGGAAATTACATGAATATGGCAGTGGGCAAATGGATAAAGAGCAGCATAATTTGAAATCACGAGTTTAAAGTTAGTTGATCGCGCGTCTCCAGTGAAGCTGAACTCTCCTCCTGTCCGCATTCAATTCACACGGACCGACCGTCATGCAGAGAACACGCGATCGGACAAATGCACACTTCACAAGATCTCACAACTGGATCGGACTAAGTTTGCAAGGTTTTTGAAATTAGATGTTTATTAGACATTCAAAGATTTGTTTAAATGATATAAATGCGTATTCAAGGATTCAAAACGTTTATTGTCATATGCCCAGTGAGGAAAACAAGTTTCCCTGAACCATGAAATTCTTACTTTGCTGTCGACAATGAATGCCAAGACAGTGCAAAACTATACACACACATACACAAACTATACACACATACATACATACAAT